AAATTTACCTTATGATGTAGGGGTATTTTTGCATGCATTAATAGCTGCACAAATTTTCATTCTCTACAGTGCCTATTGCTCTCGTTTACGATGGTCCAGACGTTCTGTGTATTAATAATAGGCCTTCTTCCACACCACTAGCCTTAATTATGTCTTCGGGCATGACTCAAGCAGCTGCATCAATGGCAGTGGTAAGAGCCCACCAGAGGCAAGTAAAAAACTGCATATCAACAGTTGGATACAAAATCTACGCACCCTGGAAAGACATCTGACATCGATGGCTAAATTTGCAAAGATCGATCACTGAGAAGGTGGTGAAACGGTGAGAACTTCTTTGCGAACACCATGTTTTTAGTTCTGTGAAATTACTTCTATGAATAGGATACTTTTACCTCGTGCTGTTTTGGGTGAATATCATCGCAAAGAGTGATTTTTACAAGAAATAGCCTTACTGTAGAATACTGTCCAGGCTTTAATGATGTCGCTTAAAAGCTCTTCCTCGACACAGCTTCTTCTGCAGGGAACTGACACCTGGGAATCTCGAACAAAAGCAGTGTTTAGTGCCACTAATTTATCAAATGTGTCACACAGGTATTTATTAAAATATGGAATTAGCTACGCATTTTATACTTCCATCTTTGTATCATGGTATGCATTAATGCCTCTAGTTTTCAAGTTCCTCCAATAGGTCTATTTAGGGATGACTGGACTGGTCCAAGTAGCACATACCAACACAAACCCTTCACCTAAATGATTGGTGCAGATGTTCAATACCTTGATAGGGTTAAGGTTAGACGTGTGTTTTGTGGTGATTAATGTGCCCCACTCTCGCTGTTTTACCGTATATGTATCACCAAAACGAAGGTATTTATCGACTTCTACCCAAGCATGCCAAATGAAAAAAAATTACTCCTCATTTAACTTTCCGATGCAGAATGTGACGGACGTGAGAACGAATGGAAGATATAAATAAAATGAGATAGCACTACTGCCGTAGCACCAATTTGCATATTGAATTGGCGTGACTTCAAACACTAATCATCGAAAGAGTGCGGACTCAGAGCTGACACCACTGACCCCCTTCTAACAATAAGGTGTCGAATTTACTTGTTCTGGCCTCAGTATACAGATTTAGTCATATTCTATTCAGATCGATGGCATTAGTATACGAAGCACAAAATACCGTACTTGCTTTAGTCTAAATATGAAAGCACTTCACTTTGACTTTCGCATCGTTCCAATCGCTACATTTTGTGCAATTAGGGTGCACATCTTTTTGGTTCTGTATGTACTAAATATTTTAATAACTAACAGCAAGGGTGGATTCTATTCGTTTTAAAATGAAAACGTTAGTGTACAAATGAAGATCAAAAACGGGACAAAAGTACATAGTGGTATAATGCCGCATAAAGCCGTAGTGCCAGTGATAGACACACATCGAAATAAACACGCCAGTGCGATGCCGATAATAACGGAGCATTTGGAAAATGGATAAGACAAAGGAGATAAATAAGCTTTGAATCGAAAAAGCAAAAAATTCTTCTTAATTTTTATTTCTTTGATGTTGTGCCATTGTATTGAAATGACACTGTGATTGTACATAAGGATACGGAGATCTTTTCTCTCCCTCCCCCGTCCCATACATCACTTTATGCTACCAGCGTTTCAGCTCTTTCATTAAGCCACCTGCTCACTCGCATGGCCCATGACATCCCTAAAGATAGCTTAGACACTTTACTAGATGGACGAGTCCTTAAGAAGAATCAGCATATGTCTTCGAGAATTCAACTGCTTCTGTAATGGCACTAACCATTACTTGACATCTCGAAGTGGAAGAGGGTTCTTTTAACAAACACGTGGATTTCTTCATTTCGCAAGTTTACTCAACATAAGCACAAATCAATTTAAAGCATTCTTGCAAAGGATGTGGTAAAACATCAAACCAAGGTTGTAATGAGGCTGCGTCAAATTTAAACCGTCAAGACATTTTAAAATTCCAAACTAAATTATCCAACACAGCTGCGTTTTCTATTTAAGTTGGTCTTAAAGTGGATAAACTAACTGTTTTAATTCGTTAGGTGAATCAAAGAAGTAAAAGACAAAAACCTATGCAAGTTTTTTCATGAAAAGTTATGAAAGCTAAATTAAGCCATTTGAACTTGCGTTGCTTATGGCAGGTATGCACTCGATAATGCATGAAATGCCCACGTGATTTGATCCAGTGTCACACTTCAAGGAAGTTTAACTACAAATTTTTTACATGCAGACCCTATTACAAATGCGGTTTTGACGAACATTGGGTATAAAAGATTATTGTTTGAAACTGGGATAGTTTTTTCTCAGTAAATTCGTAACTTTTGCTATTGCGCTGTAGAGTCATTTACCCTTCCAAGCGACTGCATAAATAGCCTCCCAAAAAAGGGATAAAAATTCCAATGGCGTTCGTGTCAACCGGTGGATTCACGAATGAATGCTTAGGGTCAACGAAAAAGGAACAATGTAGGTAGCAAATGCTGGAAGTGTGGAAACATAAAGTGCATATTATGTAGATTTCTTGTGCTTGCAATGTGGTGCCTAATTCGGAGTCTAAAATATACCAATTTAAGGGTAGGGAATTGAAAAATTCTAACTCTAAATGAATTCAAAAATGTAAATACATATTCATCATCGCCTGTGTTGGGTTCGATTTATGTTTATGCTCATTTTTAAACTTTTGAGGTCTTTTTCAATTTTACATCTATCTCCTAGAGAATCATCCGCATAGAGGTGTGTGTAATGAATGTGAGAGGCCACTGTGATGATTAAGGGACTTCATTTACATGATGGCACAAGTTGATTTGAGGGCCTCAGACCTGGAAGGCGAGCTAAATGCGCCACACTGAGTTTCGTTTATACGTCTTTTCTAGAAATACGGGAGTAAAATATCCAAATTTCTCTTAAAATTTAATCATTTCATGCCCGAAACTATCGCCGCTTGCCAGTTGCACTATAGTTGACGAATTTCCTTTGCTAATCCTTTTCTCCAAATTTCTACTACCTACATGTAGTGATTCAAAGGAATTTTCGTACTTCTTTAGTGGTCGTTCAGCCACCGATTAAAATTCGTTTTAATGTTAACAGGAGTAACCCCATAGGCTCCTTCACGTGTAGGTTCGTAATAAACCGCGCTTAGTAAAGCTGCAAATTCCTCCTGCTGCTGTTTTAATAGGACAGTAGTTTTTCTATCCTTTGATGAGTAGTCGTGGCTGTAGGTGGCTAACTTGAGCAGGATAATCGCATTCTTTGCAACTTCTAAGACAAACTGCCCAACGCGCTCTGAAATATTGCGCTAGCTTTAAAGGAATTTTTAAAAGTTCGGCTACTGGTAAAGAAGACAACTATTTCACTTTGTTATTAGTCGTTTGTTTTGCTCATAGCTATTTTGAAAGATTGTGCCAGGGTTGTCAGCCTCAAGGCCAACTACCGGCTTGATGAATTACTGACTGAGCAAATTCAAAGCGTAACTAAAACACTCACAGGATTTCGAAAACACTAAACGAAACGAAATCATATGTGGTGTCAATTTGCCAGTTAATAGTAGATAACGCGAAACGATTCCATTAGCTACTTATGTGAGACGTTACCTTTTCTTGTCCGGCCTAAAAGTATCGCTTGAAGGCCTTCTAGAGTGTCCTTTTAGGTCCAAGTAACAGTTGAGCTAATGGGGAGCTTTTTAGGCCCGACCCATCACGATTTTTGCAGCGCTAATTATGTGACCAACGCGTACTTAGCTAGGTACCTTGGAAGAGGGTTCACTCATCTCTATCTAGCTTGTTCATCTCAGCCGACAAATTGTGGCATTCATTGCTGCAGCCCGAGTTAAGAAGTAGTAACAAGATATATCAAAAGGCTTACCTTACCAGTGAAGCTTTGATCTCAGGTTTTGCACATTTACATTAAAATTTATCCTTATATTTTGAGAGATGGTCGTTGTGAAGTATTTACCTTAACTACTACCTCTAACTGGACCCGTTCATGAGGCTTGACTTTATAATAGGACGTAAAAAACCTAAATAATTAACACTATTCTTCATGAGGCGGAGCCCATTCAGCGATGTAAAACTGGACCTATTTGATTCCAAAGATTACTTTTAATTAGAATTGCAACTTTGGACAGCTTTTAGCTGATGAATGTCAAATTCGGGCTTAGTTAAGGCTTCTAATGTGAGATTTTTTTAATACCGAACTCAAAAAGGATCTCCTAGATCCACCTTTACGCCTTACTTGTTGGTGTTTGGATTCAGCCTCACTCCTTTATTTGACATTATTTGAAAGCCAAGATCGATGTCCGGAATGGTGTTGGTGCATCTTTACCTCAACCCAAAGTCGAGGATGGTCAAGTTAAAGGATATGATACTAAAACCTTCAAGCTAAACACACGGGGGCTTATTTAATTTAAGAGTCAATTCATTTAAAAACTACACTCTGTACGGGGGTCCGAAGGATTAGAGCTAAACAATCACATTGCTCCACCCTCTTCGAGTTAACATGGGGACATGGAGAGACAGCCATATAAGCCCACTGTAGGTGGGCGCCCACATTTTTTTTTTGATTTATTACGATGTTCGGCCCCGGACAGACGCAACAAGCGGCAGACGGATGCATCAATTTTGCATGTGGCCCCCAAATGGTAGACGTCTGGTAGACCATAGGGTAGCTTTACCTGTAAGTTGAGTCATACCGTTGTCGAATTGACAACTCCGACATATTTAATTAGACAACTGCTAAATGGAAGTACGGTAGTCCTTAATACCTTTTAAGATGTCTTTATTTGGCTAATAGCAAGAACTGGTCACAGGCTTCAGCAATTATATTTTGATGAATTGATTTGGTGAATTTGACTTTCAACTTACTGTGAACTTTAAAACGTCTCAGCTTATTAACCAAATCTCAGGAATTACAGTTTTCTACGGTTGTGGCCATTGTTGCCACTACCTGTGATCTGAAAAATTGGATTTTATTGAAAGAGTTCTATTTTGTTTGAAATAAAGCAGAGAGCCTCTTCATTATTCTTGTAGACTATTTTTTCATAGCAGCCAAGCTAAATACGCAGTGTAAATCAGTGTTGGATTAAGGGAGGGCTATAGAATCAAATAAAAATCGAGTGTTTTTGCAAATATTTTAACTCCAACCTTTGCAGCTATTGCGGGGTAGCTTCGTATGTTTATTTCATGGGGCAAAAATATTTAGGCACCTAATTTCAGCATTCTATTTATCCGTTAAATACCAGCCGTTGGGAGTGAAAATATCAACCACATGGGATGTCACTGCTGATGTAGACGGTATTACCGAATGGGACTACTTTATACCCCAACTCGTCATCATTCGACTCGGTCTCATACCACGTTTTCCTCGCAAGTGCTTTTAAAAATCAAAACCCCCAAAGTCAACCATTGTGCAATTTCGTCATTGTAAAACGCTTCTATGGTGTTTTAAGTGCCTGTTGGTTTTGTAACGATTCTATTGCCGAATTGTTTACCAATTCACCATTCAAGAAAAAACAGAAAAGAACAAGATAAATTGTATTAAAAGTGCTGAAGGGAGTGGCACCTCACCTTCAGCCAGTACACAAGGATTGCTCTTACTTGCAGAAGACACTTTTAAAAAACCATTTTTCATGACTTTTTATTCATTTGTGGAATTTTTTGAGTAGCCTTGCATATTGCATGCACAAGGACTCGTGTTAGTACTTTATTCTTAGAAAGGATCGAACCACTCTGCAGTTCCAGAGCAGCAGTACATGAATGGCTCAAGTTAAAACTCATTTACTATCTATAATGGCTGTTTACAACCACAGAAGGCCAAATTCTATTATGGCTAAATCACTTGAATAAACAAACTTTTATCATAAATGGTTAACGGCCTTAGTTTTTTATGATAACTGTCAAAAGTCCAAAGTAGTAACACCTAATAGCATTAATGTGCGGGGCAAGTAGAACGAACCCGAGGTGAAATGTATCTGTATGTAAAACCTGTATTTAATGACGATTGCATCTGTAGTTACTTAGATCACTTGAATATAGGTAAATACAGTCACTAGAGTAGTAACTCAGC